TGGTTCCAGAGCAGAGGCCATCTGCCATTTTATGCTTCTTTTATAGAAAACTTTCTGTGGCCCATTCTTACTGGGTTGGCATTTTCATTTTTAGTGGAACTTAGTGTGACTTGTAAATGTGAGAGTTACCGTGCATTTCCTTCTTCATATCATTCATAATGTGACTGGGCACAGGTCCAGCTGCCTGCCCCCTTTATAAACAAACCACTCAAAAGTCAAATGTTGGTGAAAATGGAAGTCGGCTTTTATTCAGGAATACCAGTGACCTGAGCAGAGATGTTAGGCTCACCCATCTCTCCAGTAAACCTGAAGGAGAATGGCTGGACTAAAACCATCTTCAAGACTCAGATTTACTAATGGGTTTTTAAAGAGGTAGCTGAGGGAGTGGAACATGGGAAATGAAAAGAAGGAGGGAAAGGGGATGTGAGCAGTGAGGGCTTTGTGCAAGGTCACAGGTGCAGAGTCTCCCCAAGACTCTGGTTTCTGCTCCTGTCTTTGCTGTTATCTCAGGGTCCTGCAGGAGAGGTGGAATCAACACAACTTTGTTGATGTCTTTCTTGCTTTCCCAGGGTCTGCAAGTCTGCAGCCTCGTGGTGGCTGGAAAACAGCTTTACATTTATGTAAATAATGTCATCTTACCCCATAACCAAGATTCAAAAAAGAGAAGGGAGGGAACTCAGAGAAATGCATGCCAAGGAAAACACTGTGTCCTTTTAAAATCTGCCTAAAGCCCACGTGGTTTTAAGTCCCAAACTGGCTTCAGTCCTGCTCACTCCAACAATAAGGCCACTGATAAAGACTAATGTTATTTTCTGGTTTTGTGGGATTCTTTTTTTATACTTTTCCACACAAAGGCTATTTTTATGGTCCTTCACCTACTTCTGATCTGCAATTAAAAAGTGCCCTGACTGACTTTGCTGTGTTTGGTGTTGACTCCTGTCAAGAGTATTTTGAAAGTCCTAATACATTAATCCATTTGTTTGCCCTTATCCACATCTCTGTAGGTTGCTCAAGCAATGTTAACTGGCAAGTCAGGGATGAGTTTCTCTTAAAAATATTCTTCCTACTTTTTTCTGTGCTAACAATTTTTGTAACAAGCTCACCCTTTATTATAAATCCTACCCCATGTGGATGCGAGAATCGGCAGCTCTCCACCCTGTCTACCCGACTCCCCCATTTGTACAGGAGTCCCCAAGACCAATCACTCAATCTGCATTTGGAGTTACAGCTTATATATTCTGACAAACAATTTTCTAATTCTACCTTTGGGCTTCTTCAAAATCTGAGATAAATGTCATCCTGACTAAATGATGACACAAGTACATCTGGTTTTGCAAATCAGGTAAGTCTAGTTACTGCCCATCATCTAAAAACACATCCAGAAAGAAGGTATCCATTGTCCAACTGATAAGGATTCATTGAAAGGTTCAGCCTGAAGGTATTCTGGTGATTCAGAGCTTATGCCAAACCCACCAAACTCCTACAGAAGAGCCAGGTGTCATTCCAGATAAAGTGTGAACACGCTGATCTGATATCCGAGCAGCCCCACGGTCTGTCTCTGCGGGTCTCTGCACCCTGCCTCCACCTCCATCTCTGCCAATTTTCCCCACCCGGACGGCAAGCATCCCTGCCTCCCTGTGCTGGAACACAGAGTGTGCTCTAACTTGCGCACTGATCATTTTTATACTGTGCATATCCTGTTTGCCCAGATAGATAGGAAACTACTTAATGGGGGTACCAAATCTCCACCTCTTTGAAACTCCATCACCCAATAACGTAGCAAAATGTCATTTATGATACCTACTATATTACCCCCACACTCTCTTTTGCTATGAAACAGCATCTAGTTTACTGATTCTGAATTAGGTAATAACTTACTCATTAGCAAGTGTGAACAATACCCCATTACACTCTTCATACTAGGAAATTTACAGTTGGGAGAGATTTCAGGGCAGTTCTTTTCACTTCTTCCCATGAAATCTTGGTTCTAATAGATCGCTTTTTCTGTCTTTCTCCCAATTTTTTATTTCTAAGAGACTAAGAGGTTCAAGAAAGGTAGAAACACACAAGGGAAATCATGAGATGTTCAGTAATTCAAGCATAAGAGAAACAGGCTCTTTTCTTTCCCATGGGATCATAAAGAGATAGGAAGTGCTCATTCACTAAGGGTAAAGCCACTTTAGCAGCTGTAGGTTTAGCCATGGAAAAAACCACTCAGCTTATTAAAAAAAACAAGCAAAAAATTCCCCAAGTTGGCAATTTGGCAGCAGTACAATGTTAAGGACACTCTCTCAACTCAGCTGGGAAAACCAGGGAGGAACACGTCAAGGGTCAGAGGACAAAACCCTTATAATCTGTTGAGAATGTTCCAAGGAAAATCGCACAACAGATACAACGAGCTTGTCAGCTGCCCCGCTGGTTTCAGGGGTGCACTGCTCACTGCCGCCTCCACAGAATGAGTCACCCTCTGCAGAACGCGTCACAGCTCAAGTTTAATCAACCTCACAGCAGCCTGGGAGGAAGCGTCAGTCTCTCCTCCCACAAAGGATGGGCCACCGAGGCATCAGCATAGAAAGAGAGTTGTGAGTTACACAGGAGAGGAGAGAACCAGGGAATGGCACCCACGGAAAGGAAGAAAAGGAGACACCCAGGGGACAGGGAGGTGGAGCCCCTGAGCAGCCCAGGGTGATCTGGTTCCAGAGAAGCAGATCTTGAAGCAGGGGTCACTGAAGTCCAAGCCTTACGGATTCACATGTGACAGGGCTCAGGACCACCTCGGCTGCTACCCCTCACTGTCAGGTTCCACATCGCTGTTCTCCCCCAGGGGGAATTCCTTTGTGGGCTTCTGGGTTGCATAAATCCGAGTCTCCATGGGGCAGTCTTGGCTCAGAATAGCCTGCAGCAAGAGGCAAGAAGAGAAGTCATAGCACATCTTTCTCCAGTCTCTCCATTCCCTTCCCCCTCTGGCTCAGCAGAGTCTAATATTGCTCAGGAAAGGTTCAAGAAGGACCTTCTGTTGGCTTCATGTACATGCACAGGCCTCCTGAGGAACCTAGATATATGAACCCTAGTCGGGACAAACATCTGATATGCTTAATGGAATCCTAACAGCGGTAGTGCAAAATATAGCAGGACTCGAGCTGAAATTGGCACCACTCCCTATCAGGGCTTCCTGTCTTCTTTTGTTCCTTTGAGCAGCCTCTCCATCCATCCTTAACCCATCCGGACTCTCAGGGTACTGATGCCTCAATAAGAGGAAAGAATCTTATTAACTAGAATCATATGCTGTGAATCTGTTCTCTGGGTTTTTTGTTCTTTAAAAGAGATGAACTGGTCAGGATAACAGCAGGCTCAGATGAATGAATGAGTGAATGAATGAGTGAATGCATGAACAGGCCCAGGGGAATTCTCCCATCAGTCAGGGAGATAACTTGGTAATTCACATCTTGCTAGTAACTACAGCAACTACAGGATGCCTTTGATGGTTCCCTACCGCAAGTCTTCACAGACTTCCCATTCTCTTGCTTTACTTGAGAGCCTTCTTAACAGCCCCAGTAAGAAGGGAAGTGGTTACTTAGAGAAGGGAAAATAAGGAAGGGCACAAAAGAAGGGTAAATATATAAGGGCATCAGAAAATGCGGTAAATCAGAGAGAGGAGATAAGAGCACAGGATGGAAAGGCATGAGAGAGACAATGGAAAAAAACCAGAAGCATATTTTTTTGCAATCACAGCTCATTACTAGCTTCTCCTCCTTGGCTGGGGGACTCCGCAGGTAGAAGCAGAGAGGAGCATAGGTGATGTTGACAACGCCGATGATGACCATGAGCCAGGGGAAGCCGATGGCCCTCACGATGGCACCCCCAGTGGATGGGCCTGCAAGGAGTCAATCAAATTCAAAAGTGTTTGCTGAGCCTCGATCACACATAAGACACTATAGGGGCAGCAGTGACCTAGAGGATGTCACAGGTCAAATATCTCCAGAACCCTAAGGTGACTGGCCTCTGGGCTCTACTTCCAGCTGGTAAACAGTAGACAATCAAATTCAAAAGTGTTTGCTGAGCCTCGATCACACATAAGACACTATAGGGGCAGCAGTGACCTAGAGGATGTCACAGGTCACATATCTCCAGAACCCTAAGGTGACTGGCCTCTGGGCTCTACTTCCAGCTGGTAAACAGTAGAGAGGGGGATGGGGAGGCACCAGCCCAACATACCTACAGCAAAGCCCAAGCAAAAAGCCACGTCGGCGATGGCATAGACGCTCCCATACACCGAGGTGTGGCGCAGGTCCACCAGGTGCCCCATGATGGGCATCATAGAGGAATCCACCATGCCTGTGGCCAGAGCAAAGAGGACGTGGCAGTCAGCTCCACCCACAGTCTGTGGCAGCCCTCCCCTCCGTCTCCATTTAGTCTGCTCCCTTTGCCTGTTGTCCTCCCGCTCCTTCTGGCTTTCCACCGACCTCCTATGCTGAGAAAAGAGGAAGGAAAGGCCTCTCACCCAAAGCCAGCATTCAGGGGCTTCTTGTTTGCTGGGAGGGCACTTCTTACCTATGGCAAAGCCAAGCCCTGCATTGGGGCCAATGAGACCAAGAATATCGTGAGCCAGAGGAACCTGCCAGGGGCAAGAGGAAGAGTTGATCAGGACCCCAGCTGGGGGAGGTGGGGGCAGGCTTCAAAGGGTTTTCACCGTGAAATGCACTTATTAAGTGCATACATTACCTCTTCGAATTCTCACACCTCCTTATCAAGAAGAGTCTTTACCTCCATTTTAAAGATATGAAAACTGGACAGGGGCCATTTGGGTTAAATGCCCTATCCAAAGTTACAGAGCGAGACCAAGTTTCACCCCATCAAGTCCGACCTGACGCCATCATACCGTAACAATGGTCCTTTCCTGTTGCATGGACGCTTCCTCCCTTTCCTCTTTTCTCTCTCTCCACCCAAACACACACTTCTGTCCTCATTCTTCACTGAATGGAGCTGTTTCTCTGTTCCATTACTGACATCATCCAAAGATTTTAACCCCCTAACTTGGCAGCCGTTGGAGCAAGAAGACAGAGAACAGCTCAACAACCGATTAGCTGTAAGTATAGGGGACCGCTGGCATGGTTTGGGTGCCACGTTAGCAAGCTCGTGAAGCTCTCAACCCCCTACAAAGAGCCATTCTTTCCCTCATGCAGGTTTCTTACCCCCCTCCCTGGGCACTTGTCACCCAAACCTGCTACCCCAGCACACTCACCTCTCAAAGGCTTAACATACTGTTTAGATGTCAGCAAATAACAATTTTAGGGATAACGCCTCAAAGAGGTGCCCATATTTTATCAATAGTATTGGCTAAGGTTCACTGTGGGCTCACTATGTGCAAGACACTGTGCTGTGGTTTATGTGAACTGTCTCAACATCCCTGTGAGATACTATCAGAATGCTCTCTACACAGATGAGGACACAATCTTAGACAGGTGGTATAACTGGCTCACAATCACACACACAGCAAGTGGCAACGCTGGGATGGAATGTGGAGCTAGTGCTCCCGAACAGGACCTCCAGCCCGTCTTGAGCATGGTGCTCGGTGCTTTGCAGTCCTGTCCTTATCTCCCTCAAGCCTAGGAGGCATGTGTGCTAATCATCCCCATTGAGGAGAGGAGAAAATGAAGGCTTAAAGAGCTTATGGGGGCTCTTGAAAGTAGAAACATCCTGAGGCAGAAATGCTGGTTCCCTGGTGACCTACGGGGATCTGCCAGGGTGGGATAAGCAAACGAAGTCATAAAATGTACCATTTTTCTGGCCCCAGAAATAGATGCCAGCATATATCCCTTCCTGTGTGTATATATAGAGCCTCAGACTGCTGACTTCAGTCACTCCCACTGCCCTCTCCCTCTCTGTCCCCACCTCCCCATCGATGGGACACCACTTGAACTGGTGGCATCTCCCTCCACTGCTAATTTCCTACCTACTCAGGAACAGTCTATCTAATAGTCCTTGCCAAGTCAATCCTCTGCTCATTTTAAAGCAAGGTGGCCTTTACATGTCTGGTTCTCTCTCAAGTAGGCCTTTTTATACTTACACAGAGCAAGCTGGTACCTACTACCACCATGCCAATCAGGGAGCACAGCCACCTGGAAGAAAGGAGGCATCGTCAGTCAATGCCAGGAAGAGACATCCCTTCCACCTGCCACCATCACCACCACACTGGCCAGCCCTATTGTCCCCAAGACCAGCAACCCCATAGGACCTGAACACACCTTGACAGGACCAGTTTACACCCAAGTGAGCTCTTTCCCTGTCCTTTCCTTGCCCCTCATCCCTCCCTGGCTCCTCACCTCCTTCCACAGGACAGCAGGGGAGGCACGATGGGACCCATTCTTCCTTCCCTTAGAAGAGGGGTCAGCTGACCCAGAAGGTACTTGACCCTTGGGAGTAGCCCTCATACTTAATTCATGCTGTTTCCCAGGTCACACTATCTCCTGCCTGTTTGCATTTTCTTTTTTCTTAAAGGACCATCTCAAAAAACACAAAAAGTACCAAAACTTTTCCCTCCTCTGATTTACAATAGCAGTGCTTTTTAAACTTATTTTTAAAATATTTATGCTGAACCCCAAAGATAAAATTAAAGCTGTTCTCGCTGCAGTGGAGGAACAGAATAATCTAGACTCATATCTCTTGTCCCCAACCTATTCCTTTGGTAGCCTGTGAGGCACCTCTGTAGAACCCCTGAGGGTTCCATGGAACACAGTTTGACAACCACTTCCCCAAAGTATGGCTTTTTTCATAGCTGCTCTTTGCTGGGATTATTTTATCTCCTCAACGAAATAGCAAACAGCTGGCAAGTAAAGGTTGTCCCTCATTTATCCATTGCCTTTTCTATAGCAGCCAGCTCAGGGCCCTCCTTTCTCCACACACCGAACCCTCATCACCCACCCACCACCCACCCTCCCAGTGGGCAGTTCTTATCCATGTGTACTTGTCCTAAACTTTCAATCTCAGAGAGGCTGTCCATCATCCCAGTGCAAGGAGAACCTCAAGTCTCAAAGGGCTCTCCCTTCTTCCATTCCCATCATTCTTCCCAGATCCACAGGCTACGTACCGACCCATCTTGTTGGCCAACACACCAAAGAGGTTGGTGCCAATGAGGTAGGACACACTGGCAGGCAAGAAAGCTAGACCTGTAGAAGACACAGATCCTCACCTTAGGACTTACCCAACTTACTCTAAAACACCTACAAGACAGTGAGGTCCCCATGCTACCTTTCAGGGGATCCTCATGCAAAGCCAGAACAAATGTCACAAGACCCCACCGCTCTGCCTTCCTCAGGAGCAGGTCTTGGTTGAGCCTCAACACACTTAACATGCTTCCAGTTCACCACTCACACTTTCTGATGAATGGCCCTAAAGGGCCATTCTCATGTATGAAATACCCTTGGTGACCAGCATGAGACATGAGCTTTAGAGAAAGACAGACATACTTTCTGAAGAGTGGAATTCCTGCCCTTCTATTGCTGTTAGGAACCGTGGATAAATGACTAAATCTTTCTGAGCCTTGGTTTTCACATCTGGAAAAAGCAAAGCTATGATTATATCATGCCAGGTTACAGTGAAAAGCAAATTAGAAAATATATGTAAAAGTATTTTGTAAATTGAAGCCCTGGCCACCTGGCTTTTTGACAGAGTGAAGTGTACTAGCAACATGAGTTTTAGAGCCACACAGTTCTAGGTTCCAATTGTGGCTTGGCTCTGTGACCTTGGGCAATTTACTTACCCTCTCTGAGTCTCATTCATTCACTTATTCATTGCTTTTAATAAGCATTTACCACCTATTCTAGGGCTAGGAATAGAGTGGTGAATAAGAGACAAAATCCTAGCTCTCAGGGAGCTTACATTTCAGGGAAGGGAGACAGACAATAAACAGGTAAACAAATAAATGAAAAATAATTGTGAAAAATGGTAAGGTCTGTGAAGAAAATTTAATGTTGTGATAAGACCGACGGACCGGGAAGAAGGGCTACCTTGGACATGAGGGTCAGGAAAGGCCTCTATGAGGAGGTGACATTTAAGCGGAGACTTCAGTAACCAAAAGAGAGCATTTCAAGCAGGAAAAAAAAAGCACTTAATGCAAATGCAAAAAGCCTTAAAGGAAAAAACCACTTAGTCTGTTCTGGCTAAAGCGTAAGGAGCTAGTGCAGAGTGAGAAAAGGTAAGCCCTAGAAAAAAATTGGGAATTCATCCAAATGCAACGGGAAGCTTTGGAGGAGGATGACATAATCTGATTTATATTTTCTAAAGTTCCGTGGAAGAATGGGCTCACAGGACAAGAGTGGAAGCCAGAAGACTACTCGCAGAATCCAGGAGAAATGTGATGGTATCTCAGCCTAGAAGTCACGATGGAGAGAAGTTAATAAAATGAGAGATGTTTTGGACATAGTTGGTGGCATTTTCTGTTGGATTGGGTGTTGACATAGTGGGACGGAGGAAGAAAAGAGAGAAATCAATTGGGTGACTGGAGATAAGGAAGACTGGTGGGGGAGGATGAGCTAGGGGGGACATGAAAGGTTTGAAATGCCTACTAGACATCCAAGCAGAGACGTCAGGCAATTGGATATACAAGCCTAGAGCTCCAAGGAGAGATAAATGCTGGACTCATTGGATTACAGGTGGTTCTTAAAGCCCTGGGAATGAATGAGATCACCAAAGATAGATGATTGGATAAAGAAGAATAGAGGTGCAAGGTCTGAGTCTTGGGGGATTTCTACCTTTAAAAGCTAACAAAGGAGGACAATCTAGCAAAGGTGATGAGGGGTAGCCAATGAACAAAGAGAGAGGAGATGGAGCCCAGAAGAGGAGCCTGGCCCTTGACTAGAGTTGGGATGCTTCAGCCGTAGTTAGAGAGAGGGCAGTGGATGTGGGTACAGGTGCAGGGAAGTGGATACATGTAACAATGGGCGCCCGTGTGAGATCCCTTCTCATTGCTTCTATTTTCTCAGTGACGAGCAGGCAAAGTCGACAGCTGAGCATGATGACGGTGAAGGAGTGTGACTGTACAAGAGGTGTGAATGAAGACATGTAAAATAGTCATTTTTCAAAGTGGGACAGAGTCCCTAGTTATTTAGGGACTTACGAAAAGATTGTTGGACAGTCTGAAACCCACTTTAGATTTGTAGCCATGAATATAAGGCTACTTCAGAAAGTTCATGTAAAGCTTTGTATTATCTTTCAATTCTATCTTTCCATGAATGTTTTGAGGTAGCCTCGTATGAGGTAAGACCAGTAGTCTGTTCGTGTATTTTCTACAGCCCAATCCCACTGCTCAGGTTCAAACAAGAGGTAGGCAACCAGATAGGTGTGATCAGGGTGACAGATAGGCTTTACCACGTGACAACCCCAGAGGGAGAGAGAGATATCAAAGAAGTGACACTAATAATGGACCACTGGATCCAAGCTGAGTAAAAAAAAGAAGTGAGGTCATGAGTAGTGATAGGATTAGAAGAATAACAGGCCAATGGATTAGTGATCTCAGTGTGGCCCAAGATTGTTGATATGGGGGTATTAGAACATCTGAGCAGGGAATATGTGGGGTTACATCTGGATTTCTTAAAATTGAGATTCAGAGGAGATAAAATGAATGGTGATGTCAGGCTCAGGGTATACATAAGATTGATTGGTTAAGGTGGAGAGGATAAAAAGATCATTGTAAGAGAGGAGATTAAGGAAGTAAAAGGCTGAGATGTTGGTAGGGCTATCCACCTGGATATTAAAGTCACCAAAAACGATGACAGGAGGAGAGGTTAAAAAGAACATGAGCTGAATGTTGACAGCTTTAATGAATGAGAAGGGGTAATTAAAGGGTCACTAGATGATTGCACTGAAGAGGGGTGAGGTGTTATAATGTAACATGATTTTCAAAAGAGCAGGGGTCTTTGAAGGAGAACAGAGAAGAAATGATTCAGAAGCAGCAAAGGAGAGCAAGGTCTGGAGGAACAAGGACCCCATCAAGAGGGCTGCAGGGAAATTGTGTTCACAGAAAACATCCAGGTCTCAGCAGGGAAAGGAGATGAAGGAAACGTTCAGAGAAGAAGATGAGGGCATAGGGGTGCTTGCCAATAACAGAGTTCCACATGGTCCAGGATTTGGAAGGGCATTGGAAAACTGCATCAGATTAAGAAATCTCTGAAATATGGGGATAATAATTATTCCTACCAGATTGGCTGGTTGTGGGCTTAAATGAAATAAGGCATATCAAGCATTTTGCATAGTTCCTGGCATAGAGTAAGTGCCCTATGAGCACCGGCCTTAATTATCATCATCATAATCAGTGACTGATGGGGTAAGAACTCGAACCCAGGCCTTCTCACTCCAACTCCAGGTGTTTCCACTACCCCTCCACCAGCAGTGGGGCAGCACAGATGACTCTGGTACAAGGGGCTGCTTGGAAACAGCAGTGTGAGTTTCTTTGGGTCTCACCAGCCTTTTCTATGCCTCTTTGTACCTAGAGGAAACAATGCAGCCTAATGAAAAACGTTGTGACGATTGCAATTAAATTGAAAATCAACAGTTCACTGGTTACTGGCTGAAGGCTTGTTTGCTTTTAATATTCTCTTCTGTTGGGTGGAAATGAAATATACTTTAGTATATTTGTCTAGTCTATCTGCACTGGTGGCAATCTGTTTCAAACTGTACTCATGTGTTTATATTTAATTGCTTAAAAAAATTTTAGAGGTTATAACTTGTCAACTGTCTATCTGATATGTGGAAGTAAGCAACTCTAGGAAGCTTACTAGCTTGTTCTTTAGGATCTGGCTATAGCTTGCATTTTGGCAGCATTTTGCTGACAGAATATGTGTCTTATACACACACATTTATTTTTCATAGCATATCTTCAAGGGGTGGGAGATTACATGTTTTGTGACTATCAAAATGATTTAAAGAAAAATAGTTATAAAACTAGTAAGAATAATAATTTTTATTTAATGAGTGTATCCTGCATTCCATGTACGGTGCTAATCCATTTAGAATACATAGATCAAAACAATCCTGGAAAGTATCTCCATTTTTACAGATCAAAAAAGAAAAGTTTGTCTTAGTCAATTTTCTGCTACTGAATACCACGGACTGGATAATTTGTAAAGAAAAGAGATTTATTTGGTTCACAGTTCTGGAGACTGGGAAGTCCAAGGGCATGGTGCTGCATCCTCTCAGCCATCTAGTGAGGGCCTTTTTGCTGTGTCATACCACGGTGGAAGGGCATCCCATGCAGTGAAAGCATGCTCACGCATGAGAAAAAGGGAGCCAACCCCCCCTCTTTTGTAGCTAACCCATTCCCTCCATAACAGCCTTAATCCATTCAAGAGGGTTGTGCCTCAATGACCTAATCACCTCTTAAAGGTCCCACCTTTCAACACTGCTGCATTGGGTGTAAGTTTCCAACACATGAATTTGGGGGACACATGCAAACCATAGCATTTCACCCCTGGCCCCCCAAATTCATGTTCTTCTCACAATAAAAAATATATGTATTCCATCCCAATAGTTCCAAAAGTCTTAATCCATTCCAGTATCAACAGAAAAGTCCAAAAGCTCATCTAAATAGATATGGGTGAGACTCAAGGCATGATTTATCCTGAGGCAAATTCCCTCTTGATTAACAGCACCTAGCTCCCTTCTACTTCCAAAATACAGTGGTGGACAGGCATAAGATAGACATTCCCATTTTAAAAGGGAGCAGTGGAGCAGAAGAAAGGGATAACAGGTGCCAAGTAAGTCCACCTTCTGGGCTCAGTTCACCTGGCAGTTCTCACAGTTTGGAGTCTGGTGCCTATAGCTCTCCCAGGCAGGTATTGCACACTGGTGGCCCTACAGTTCTGTGGTCTTCAGGGGTGTCCCCCAGGCAACTTGTGACATTCTTTGAAATTTATGTGGAGGAAACCATGCCCCCACAGCTTTTGTATTCTGTGTGTCTGCAGAATTAGTACTATGTAGAAACTGCCAAGGCTTACTGCTTGTGCCCTCAAGAGTGGTGGCCTGAACCACAGCTGGTCCCACTTGAGCCACAGCTGGGGCAGCTGAGGGACACTGTGCTGGAATGTGCAGAGCAGAGTCACTAGGGAAACCTGGGCAGTGAACCAATGGAGGGTGCCCTGAGTCCATCCCTCAAAACCATTCTGCCCTCCTAGAGCTCTGAGCCTGTGATGGGAGAGGCAGCCTCAAAAATCTCTGAAATGCCTTTGGGGTCTTTCTCTCATTGTCTTGATTAACAGCAGCTAGCTCCCTTCTATCTATACTAATCTTTTTAGCAAACAGTCACTTGACCACACCCTTGGTTTGGTCTCCTAAAGATGCTTTTTCCTCTTCACATGGCCAAGCTTCAAATTTTCCAAATCTTTCCATTCTGCTTCTTTTTAAATTATAAATCCCATCTTTAAGTCATTTCATTGCTCTTGCATCTTACAGTATGTGGTTAAAAGTAGCCACACAGCAGCCTGAATGCTTTGCTGCTTAGGTATTTCTTCTGCTACATATCCAAGTTCATTGCTCTCCAGTTCTACATTCCATAATGTTCTAGGACACAGACACAATTCCACCAAGGTCTTTGCATTTTTATAACAAGAATGGCCTTTACTCCAGCTGCCAATACTTTGTTCCTTATTTCCATCTGAGACCACGTCAGAACAGCCTTTACTGTCCATATTTCTACCAACATTATGGTCATGACCACTTAAGTAATCTCCAAGAAGATTCAGACTTTTCCTATCACTCTTCTCTTTTTCTGAGCCCTCACCAGAAAAGCCCTTAATGTTTTGTTCATGGCAATACAGATTTTTTCTAGGCTGTTCCTCCAAATTCTTCCAGCCTCTTCCCATTACCCAGTTTCAAAATAGTTTCCACATTTTTAGGTATTTGTTGTAAAAACAACCTCAATTCCTGATACAATTTTCTGTCTTTGTTTTCTACTGCTATAACAGAATACCACAGACTGGGTAATTTATAACAAAAACAGATTTATTCGGCTCACAATTCTATAGGCTGGGTATTCCAAGAGCATGGTGCTGCATTCTCTTGGCAAACTGGTACGGGCCTTCTTGCTGCATCATTCCATGGTGGAAGGGCATCCCATGGAGAAAAGAGCACTCAACAGAGAAAGGAAAAGGGGGCCGAACTCCCCCCTTTTATTGCTAATGCACTCCAGCAGTAACAGCCTTAATCCACTCATGAGAGCAGAACACTCATGACCTAATCACCTCCTAAAAGTCCCACCTCTCAACACTGTTGCACTGGGGATTAAGTTTCCAACATGTGAATTTTGGGGGACACACTGAAACCAAAGCAGAGTCTGAATAGGTTAAATAACTCATCCAAGGTTACATCAGTAAGTGGCTGGAACAGGATTCAAACCCAGGCAGACCTGTTTCCAAAGCCTGGGATTCCTCCACTTGGTGATAGCACCTAGCACACAATGGGCCACATAGCAAGTGCTCAGTCACAGACTACATGTCACTCTCAAAAGCCTCATCTCTTTTGCTCCTGCCAACAACCTTGAGAGATGTTCTTCATGTAGAGTAGTGGTTTTCAAAGTGTGGTCACTGACCAGCCATAGTAGCATCACCTGGAAACTTACTAGGAATGCAAATTTGTTTTTGCTGAATCACTGGCTGTCACCCAGTAATCAGAGTTTGAACAAGCTGTCTAGGTGCTAATGATGTAATCATTTCAGAACCTTTGACATCAGACTTTACAGACACAGCACTGAGGAAAGCTATAAAAGATGGTGTAACTGGTAACTGAGGCTGGTAGCAGGATTGCTGGGGAACAGCCACTCTTTGCTCACCTGCACCAAGAGCCTGAGTGGCCAGAGCCTTGGGGCAGGGGATATGTTATCTGCACTGAACACCAGCTAACTCAATTAATTGTCTTAGCCAGAGGCAGCTGCAGCCCAGAAAAATTCAATTTGGGGCTACGAGTGCAGCTGGAGGCCTTGCTTAGAATTGTCCCCTGAAAAATTAGATTTAGTGCTTTTTATTGCATGCTGAGCTATATCAGGTTCTTCTCCTCTGGCCCCATGGGCCTCCCCTCCCTGCAATGACTGAGTGGTTTGCACGTAGCCTTCACTCTCCCCTTTCCTCAGGCTTCCTGGAAAGGGCTGGAGCCTCCTCTCTAAGCTCAGATGAGTCACCAGGTCTTTCCATGGAGCAGAGGAGCAGAGGTCTCTCCTGGGCCCAGCACCTGCCCTAGGTCAGAGCTACAGTGCATGCTCCATAAGATCCTTTTTAGAGGTAAAGATAGCAAAAGGGTAATTTGGGGAACGGGGAGTTGAAGAGAGGGAAGAGTGTGGATGGGATTGGTGGTGCATATTAATATTGTATGTGGCACAGAGCATTTCCTCATCTTATGTCCTTTATTCCTCCAATTTCCCTTTGAACTAGACAGTATTTTGATGCTCATTTTAGAAATAAAAAAGGTGATGCTCAGAAAGTTTAAGTAGCTTGCATGAATTTACACAGCCAATCAACGGAGCTGAAACAAAATACCCAGGTCTTTTTACTGGAAATCAGTCATTGTTGCAGCATACAGCTAGGTGTGTTACCGCGCCATAGCTCCCTGCGCCCCTGCCACCCTGCCCACCCACTTGGGCTGGGTTCATGGGTGCAGAACAGAAGGTAATTTCCAAAAGAAGCACATCATCCGTCTGTGCTGCTGGTGACTTGGACCTGAGAAGGGGACCCCCTGGCACCCACCTCCTGCCCAAGCCCAAGCCAGGTGCTGCAGTCACCTACCCAGCTGCCACTCAGGGGAGCACATGGTCTGCAGCATCCAGATGGGCAGTGTGGGCTCCAGCATGGCCACTCCCATGTTGGCAAAGCAGATGGAACCTGGAGAGATGGTTCTGTGAGTCACTGGGGTTGTCCGTGGCCTGGACACTCCTGGCCCAATGGGAGGCCATTGCCAGCTTACCTGCAGCCACCAGGATGTAAGGGTCTTTGAGAAGCGTAAAGAGCGGAGTCCCCTTGGCACTCTGAGAACATGGACAACAAAAAACTTCCATTTGTACAGTGTAGACACCTCTCCTATTTTCACAGAATCTGAGAATCGGCAGACAGGACCTCAGAGGCCATCTACTCCAGCTCCTTTACTGTAGAGATTAGGAAAGCTAAGTCCAGGGAGAGAAGGTGACTGGCCAGATGTCACAGATTGAGCTGGAGGCACAGCCCCTCCTGCGTGCAAGGCAGGCACTGTGATAGTCACAGAGAGTGAGTAAACCTGTGCCAGACATAATCCTTCCTTCAGAGGACCATCAACCAGGTCAGAATGGATGGAGAGCAAGGCCCGGGCTGGACAGCAGGTGTGTGGACTTCTAGTCTTGCCTCTCCACTGGATCTCCCTGGCGCTAATGTTTGTCACGGGAGAACCACAGGCAGAGTGCTGAATCCCAAAAGTGAGCATAGAGCTCCTCAAGCTTTCTGAATTCTTCCTTCTGACCATTTTGGGCCACATCAGACTGGCATAGAAGTTGCTTGAACAGCTGGGTTAAAATGCCAGCCTAAATATCCAGTTTTAATTTCCCCTCCCTTAGGAACATACTCTTACCCCATCTAAACTGGTCACCCCACCTTCCTTGCATGAATCCTGCAGTCTTTCAGCCATCACTGTTACCTTTGCCTAAACTACCTTCTTTGTCTTCATAGTCCCACATCCTAGCCATTCTTCAAAGCCAAGATCAAACAGCTCTTTCTTTTGCACTCTGTTCGCTGACTCAGTAGCTGGAACTTCTCTCTTACAAACTTCCCAAGCACTGTGTCCTAATTTTCTATGATGTCCACCACACTACATCTTGTAATAGATCTAATAGTTTTGATATAACCCTCCTGCATACACACATGGATGGAGTGAGATATTTAGAGATCATAAAACTAAAAAGGTCATTTGCTTACCCCATATATAATTCAAAATAAAGAAACTGGTGTAAATCATAAATATATATGTTAAGAAGTCCAATAAACCCTTTGATCCAACAATCCCGCCTCTAGGAATTTACTCTAAAGATTACTGCCAACGTTATAAAAATGCATATACATAAACTTATTAATTGCAGCACTATTTGTAACTGCAAAATACAGAAAACTACCTAAATGACCAAACAAAGGAGACTGAATAAAATATGGTACTCACGTAATGGTGGACCATATGGCTAGAAAAACAATGAGGAAGAACTCTATGAACTGATAAGGAACAATTTTCAGGATATAAGTGAGAATTTAAAAAGGAGAATTCAAAGAAGAATACATAGCATGCTACCTTTTATGTAAGAAAAAAGAGGGAAATAAGAAAACATGCATAAACTATTTATTTTGGTAAAAAACAAAAAAGCATAGAAAAGATAAACAAGAAGACAATGAAATTGGTTACCTGCAAGTGGTGGGGGTAGGGGAGGGTGGGGGAGAATAATTGTGGAGGGATTGACATTTTTCTGAGTATACATTTTTTAATAATTTTGACTTTTAGGGCCGGCCCCATGGCTCACTTGGGAGAGTGCAGTGCTGGGAGCGCAGCAGCGCTGGGAGTGCCGAGGCCGCAGGTTCGGATCCTATATAGGGATGGCCAGTGCACTCACTGGCTGAGTGCAGTGCAGGTGACACCAAGCCAAGGGTTGTAATCCCCTTACCAGTCACAAAAAATTAAAAAATTTAAAATAATAATAATAATTTTGACTTTTAGATGTTCTATAAATTGAAAAATAAAATTATATTCATGCTATGGACTGAATTGTGTGAAAAAATAAAATTATATTCATGTAATGGACTGAATTGTGTCCCCCCCGCCCGCCAATTCATATGTTGAAGCCTCAACCCCTAATGTGACTGTATTTGGAAATAGGCCCTTGAGGGACGTAATTAAGGTTAAGTGAGGTCTTAAGGGTGGGGACCTAATCCCACAGGACTGGTGCCCTTATAAGAGGAGGAACAGACACCAGAGCTCACTCTCTGTGCATCCACTGAGGAAAGGCCACTTGAGGATACAGTGAGACGGCCATCTGCAAGCCAGGAGGAGAGGCCTCACCAGAAAGCAACCCTTACAACACCTTGATCTTGGACTTCCAGCCTCCAGAACTCTGAGAAAATAAACGTCAGTTGTTTAAGCCTCCCAGTCTGTGGCGTTTTGTAATGGCATCCTGAGCAGCCTAATACAATTCCCAAGAATGGAGAAAAAAACTAAATAGCCAAGAAAAACAAAGGAATGCAAGCAAATTTTAAAGCATCATGCATATGATCATAACACTAAAGATGGGGAAAAAAGCTAATGTGAGTAATTTCTAAACAAGTACTTTGGCTATATTCCCTGAGTCTGAGGAAAAAAGAACTGGGAAAAACTCGAACACATTTTGGTAGGTTTGTTTTTTGTAGTAGGGTGGGTATATAAATTATAAGTATAGTAGGACTGCACAAATAAGTAAATGTCTTTATTTTGGAGGGGAGCCAGGATTCCCCCTATGAAAGAAGGGGGATGCAAATATGAAATGGGAAAAGCAAGGAAGAATCCTGTGGAGTTGGGCTGGAAGGGAAGGTCTCAGCATGAATATTTGTGTGTGCGTACGCGCGCGTGCACGCGTGTGTGTGTGTGTGCACGCGTGAGGATGCATGCTTGCTCTGTCACTGAGTTGGCTCAGAAGCAAGGAGACACTAATAGCAAGGAGAACCCTGCGTGCCCATATTTTGGTTTCAAAACACCCTTCTCCATTAAAAGGGACCTGAGCTCCTTGAAGAACTGACTGATTCCAAGGCTATGGGAGGGAAGGTGAGCAGGAGAACATATTTTTGTACCAGAAAGTTAAAAATTACTCAAAAAATAATGAAAACATGTTAAAATGATACAGGAGCCAGTTTCCAGGGGCTCCCCCTTGCCAAATCTAGGACACTTTGAGCATCAAAATCAAAAACAAGGACAGTGATGAACTATAATTCACTGAATAAAATAGGAATCTATGAGTCCAAACTGATAATCAACAAATAAATTATATATATATATATACCTGTTTATGGATATATATGTATAAATATAGATGTTATATGTCCAAAGAGAGACAGAGAGAAAGGAATGATTATTTCTTATAGCAAAATGCCCACTGATGATGTGGAAGTATTGGTGAAATAGAAAAACCAGCATTTTTCAAACATCATAGTGAGTTGGTTCAGGCAAGAATCATCAATAGACAACAAATCTAGGTGGAGATGAAGTTTGAGGAGGAGCAGAAGATTTATATGATTTTACAGTGTCTTGCACAGATTATATTTATTAGTTACAAGGCAAAAAAATAATAGCTATAAAATGGAGAACCCAGGCAACCTTGACGCAGTGATCAAAATTAATATCACCACTGAGAGGCGGACAGTCATCATGTGGCTCTAGATGTGACACTAAGAAGGGCACAGTGTCACTTAGATGACAATACAATGGGGGGGTGCATAGTTTGGAGCTGAACACAGATCAACATCAGACAAACCAAACTTACGAATCTTCTGTAAAACAATTGTCTGTATTCTTAAAAAATGTCAATGTCATGAAAGATAAAGAAAGACTGAGAAGCTTTTTCAGATTAAAGGAGAAATATGAAGAAATATGACACATAAATGTATTATACAATCCTGAACTGGGTTCTGCACTGGGTGATTTTTTAAAATGTTACAAAGGACTTTATTGAGATAATTGACAAAACCAGAGTATGGACTGTAGATTAGATTAAAGTATTATGTTAATGTTAAATTTCCTGAATTTGATACCTCTATTGTCATTATATAAGTAAACATCCTGTCCTTAGGGAAAACTAAAGTATTAAAGGGTAAAGGAACAATATAAGCAATCTACTCTCAAATGGCTCAGAAGAAAAGGAGTAACAATAGTGTATGTGTGTGACAGAGAGAGAGAGGGAGAATGATTTAACAAATATGGCAAATTGTTAGAAACTGATGCAGAATCTGGTTATATGGGAGTTCTCTGTATTATGCTTTCAGCTTTTCATTCAGGGGATGGAATATGCTATCTAGCCTAAATGAATCATTGTACAATATGTGCATGAATTGAANTGTGGAGTTGGGCTGGAAGGGAAGGTCTCAGCATGAATATTTGTGTGTGCGTACGCGCGCGCGCATGTGTGTGTGTGTGTGTGTGTGCACGCGTGAGCACGCATGCTTGCTCTGTCACTGAGTTGGCTCAGAAGCAAGGAGACACTAATAGCAAGGAGAACCCTGCGTGCCCATATTTTGGTTTCAAAACACCATTCTCCATTAAAAGGGACCTGAGCTCCTTGAAGAACTGACTGATTCCAAGGCTATGCGAGGGAAGGTACAAGATGAGCAGGAGAACATATTTTTGTACCAGAAAGTTAAAAATTACTCAAAAAATAATGAAAACATGTTAAAATGATACAGGAGCCAGTTTCCAGGGGCTCCCCCTTGCCAAATCTAGGACACTTTGAGCATCAAAATCAAAAACAAGGACAGTGATGAACTATAATTCACTGAATAAAATAGGAATCTATGAGTCCAAACTGATAATCAACAAATAAATTATATATATATATATACCTGTTTATGGATATATATGTATAAATATAGATGTTATATGTCCAAAGAGAGACAGAGAGAAAGGAATGATTATTTCTTATAGCAAAATGCCCACTGATGATGTGGAAGTATTGGTGAAATAGAAAAACCAGCATTTTTCAAACATCATAGTGAGTTGGTTCAGGCAAGAATCATCAATAGACAACAAATCTAGGTGGAGATGAAGTTTGAGGAGGAGCAGAAGATTTATATGATTTTACAGTGTCTTGCACAGATTATATTTATTAGTTACAAGGCAAAAAAATAATAGCTATACAATGGAGAACCCAGGCAACCTTGACGCAGTGATCAAAATTAATATCACCACTGAGAGGCGGACAGTCATCATGTGGCTCTAGATGTGACACTAAGAAGGGCACAGTGTCACTTCGATGACAATACAATGGGGGGGTGCATAGTTTGGAGCTGAACACAGATCAACATCAGACAAACCAAACTTACGAATCTTCTGTAAAACAATTGTCTGTATTCTTAAAAAATGTCAATGTCATGAAAGATAAAGAAAGACTGAGAAGCTTTTTCAGATTAAAGGAGAAATATGAAGAAATATGACACATAAATGTATTATACAATCCTGAACTGGGTTCTGCACTGGGTGATTTTTTAAAATGTTACAAAGGACTTTATTGAGATAATTGACAAAACCAGAGTATGGACTGTAGATTAGATTAAAGTATTATGTTAATGTTAAATTTCCTGAATTTGATACCTCTATTGTCATTATATAAGTAAACATCCTGTCCTTAGGGAAAACTAAAGTATTAAAGGGTAAAGGAACAATATAAGCAATCTACTCTCAAATGGCTCAGAAGAAAAGGAGTAACAATAGTGTATGTGTGTGACAGAGAGAGAGGGAGAATGATTTAACAAATATGGCAAATTGTTAGAAATTGATGCAGAATCTGGTTATATGGGAGTTCTCTGTATTATGCTTTCAGCTTTTCATCCAGGGGCATTAAAGGGTAAAGGAACAATATAAGCAATCTACTCTCAAATGGCTCAGAAGAAAAGGAGTAACAATAGTGTATGTGTGTGACAGAGAGAGAGAGGGAGAATGATTTAACAAATATGGCAAATTGTTAGAAACTGATGCAGAATCTGGTTATATGGGAGTTCTCTGTATTATGCTTTCAGCTTTTCATTCAGGGGATGGAATATGCTATCTAGCCTAAATGAATCATTGTACAATATGTGCATGAATTGAAACAACACCGTGTACCCTACGAATATGTACAATTAAAATTTTAAAATAAAAAAATGAAAAAAAGAAATCACTTCAAAATGATAAGTTTTAAAAGGTCTGATATAGTGAAGCTTTGATATTTCTTTTGCCTCACAGTCAAATTCTTTTAAAAAATGTGTTGGTGTCCTGCTTTCCTGGTATTAAATCATCACTCCCACACAGTGAGCTCAATCAATGGTGTCTGACCCAACTGCATGAATGTTCCTAGGCCTCAACAGGTGCTCAAGAGGTGCTGGACTCCAGGCCTGGGAGCCTATGAAGAAGGCATCTGGTATTCCCTACTCTGAGGAGTTCTGGATGGGTGGTGGCTACAACGTCCCTCTCTGCTACCCAGACATCCTACTCCTAGAGTCAGTTCTCAGAGGGTGTCATAACCTCTGCAGGCTGCAGGAGGCTCCCTGTCACTCAGGGGCATGGGGACCCTAAAAGAGTCATTGCGTCAGTTTCAAATTCTCTCAAAATGCTTCTCTGTTTACTTACAATTTCTTGTCTATAGAATGAGACTAAAATAGTAGTTATTTCATGGAATTTATAAGATACAGCATAGAGTATAGTAAACAGAGCTCCTGGTACATAAAAAGCCGTGAGGAACTCTCAGGTATTATTACCATTACTTCTGGAATACCTTGATGGATTATAGATGCAAAGTCAAGGTCTTCAGATCAAACCTTCCCATGTTTTATGGACTTTCTTATCTTTCTTTCTTCGTGGTTTGATATGGATTTCCCAGAGCCATTTTTGGCTTGGAGTCAGACAAATACCAACTCTGGTATTTATTAACTGTGACAGAGTGAGAGTCTGTCAGGGATGCTCTCCACAGAAGTCTTTTCTTAGGGGAGAGGTTGTCTGGATGGCCTCTGTGGTCCTTCTACCTCTGAGATGATGTTATAACTATGAATACTTAGGTCCCAATGTCATTGTCTCCTGGTTCTGGATGTGTGAGTGTGTGTGTATCTGTTTATCTATCTAACCATCCATCTGTCCATCCATCCGTCCATCTGATAAGGCTTCCTTGATTCTTCATAAGGTCCTTGCTCCATCTTTGTTCAGCATCAAGCCAAATACCCTCACCCGCCCACACTCCACCCCAAACGTAGCCCTATCTGGGCATCCAAGTACAGATCTCACTTTCCCTGACTCTTCCCCTTCCCCTTTCATTTTAGGATTTGACAGGCACACCTTGGTCCTGAACTTAGCCATTCTCTGTATCTCTTAGCACTGGAGCTTGGTGTCTACTCACCTCAGGAGAGACTTTGGAAGGCTGCAGGATGCAAAGCTGGAGCGCTGAGAAAGAAAGAGGGAGAGAGAGGCAGTCTCGTTTGCTCACTGATTAGCTGGGGCTCCAATAACAGCCACACTGCTACCACCCTATTATGCACACATCCAACTCCCTGAGTTTCTTCCTTCTTTCCTAGGATGGAATGGTCCTTGATCTGTGAACTCATGTCCACACCCCGCTGTACTGGTCATGACTGACACCACAGCATAATGCACTTCCAGCCTCATCTGGGGGATCTAATGGTGACTTACCTCCATCCAGTAGTGCCAGCAAGGCCAAGATGAGGAAGGGAGTGGACTTCCCAACAAACTCATACATCATGCTGCCAAAGGGTGCGCCCACTGGAAAGGCAAAGCAGGCACAGAGCTGAGGATCAAGTCCCAGCCAATGTGACTCGCCCACGTTCACCCAGTGAGCATTTGTGGAAGGCCTAAGCTTAAGGGCAAAGCTCTACCTGAGGTTCTGAGAATTCAGAGATGGAGAAGACCTGGTCCCTGACCGCAAGGAGCTCACTTTCTAATGTAGGAAATGCGTGTGAGTGAGGGCAGGTGGGGACCTAAATAATTAGAGTGCACTGAAAAGTTTGATGGTAAATTTGCACACATATAGTGCTGTATAAGCACAGTGGAGTGGGCCAGAAAGTTCAGGTAGCACAAGGGCTTTGACCAGGTAGTAGTACCTGGTGGGGAAGAAGCATGTGTGGAGAACAGTGTCAGGAGGTAGAGTGTAGGTAGAGAAGGAAGTCGGTGTCCTGACAGTATGAGCATTTGGAAGGGGAAGAGTGGAGGTGGGGAAGGCTGAGGCCACTTGGTCAGGGGCCCCGTGGATCCAGATGAGGTGTGGGCCAGGGAGAAACAGGAGTGCTTTTCATTAGGGGAGAAACACCACCAGCTCTGGGCTCTGGAAGATTCTTCTGGCAGCACCCTGAAGGCAGCAGGAGGGAACGGGAAAGAGATCAGGCAGGAGGCTGGTGCCATGTTCCAGTCGAGAAGGGATGGGGAGCTGACCTCGAGGCAGTGGCATGCAGAAGGTAGTGTGCCTATCCATTTGGGGGTGACTGGTGACAAAGGACTCCAGGACACACTGGAGTGTTAGGTTGGGTGTTTGGGTAGGTGGATACTAACGAAGAACAGAGATTTTGTTTCCTCTCCTCCCTGTGGTGGCAGAGGGTGGGGCACAGGGAAAAGACTTTCAGTGCTTTTTGCTCCATTAACTTGTAAGCTCTCAGAGGGCAGGGACTATCCCTGGAGCTTCTTGACGATATCCCTTCCATGCTAGGATTGTGCTGGTGTGTAGTAAGTGCTTAGCAAAAGGATGCGGCTTGTTAGACTAATCGATTAAGTTGTATGAATATGAATCTCTAGGAGAGAATAGAATGTTTGGAGCTTGTGATTCTTTTTTTTTTTTTGGCAGCTGGCTGGTAGGTGGATCCAAAGCCTTGACCTTGGTGTTACAAGGCTGTGCTCCAACTAGAGCCGGAGATTCTGAGTACAGAAAATCTGAATCTACATCCTGGCTCTGACATGTCCTGGCAGCATGACTTTGGATGGCTATTAAATCTTTCTTATCCTCATCTCTGTAAAGAGGGAAATCATTCCTCCTTCACAGAGTGGTAGTGAGGAATAAAGAAGATTACATCTGTAACAAATTTAGCACAGAATCTGGCAAAGGGCATGCTCTTGTGTTGGAAGCAGTGGCCGTGTGTGGAAGCAGAAGCGAGGCAGACAGTGGCTGCTAATGTGGGGAGGCTCACTCTCTTGGGCAGGCTGGATTTCTGGACCTTTCCCAGGCCCTTATGGGCTGTTCAGTTTTTCAAGGAGAAGATGTCACCTTTCCTGGATGAAATTTCTGAAGAAGTCAAACAAGATTGGGCTGGGGGGTAAGGAAAGTACTCGTCTTCCATGACCTCGGCAACACCTGCCTCCTGAAGCCATGTTTGCAGGGTCTGCATTACCCCCAGCCTCCTGAACCTAGATCTCCAGCTAGGTGCCACTTACCCAGTACTCCCAAGGCCAGGCCCCCCAAGGCAATCCCCATGGCTCGCCCTCTCTCGTCATCATCAGTGTAGACACTTGCCAACATTCCCAGACCTGAACAGAGTGACAGGTGCAGTCAGCAAACGGGAGCTTTCTGCTGCCGCTCTCACTGGGTCCCTGGTCCCTGCCTTTTCTATCTGTGACAGTCTTGCCTAGAGTTTCAGTCTGAGGAGTTTTACAAAACTTAGCCCATAGCATTTTGCAAATACTGCCCCCTCCAGTCACTCAAGCCCCCAGATCGCTCACTCCTATTCAGAATATTGCTGGAAATGCAAAGGCCTCTGGGAAGGGTAACACAGAATACCATTGTCTAATTATACCATTTTGTAGCCTTTTATCATTCCCTAGCACATTCCCCTGAATGAAGGGATTATAGGTCAGGGAAAAGAAAACCTGTGAACAGAGACTGTTCTGTTCAACTGATGTGCCCAAGGAACAGCAGAAAGCACCAAGTGCATGGAAGAGAGCCGGACGAGATGAGGCACAGCACTGTGCTCTCAGGTCCACTCAGGCATGTGTAAAATGGCACAAAATACCAACTTCACAGAGTTACATTAACTATTGTATCTGGCAATACATTGCAAACTGTGATGATATTACTGGTAGTATTAACATTACTTTTCCTATGAAACGTTGAGAAGGGGACAGAGAAAGGACCATAGGATGGTACTAAATAAAAGCCTGCCCTTCTTCATGGTTTGGCCTGGGGCTTGTTCTGACCTGAGCTAGCTGCATCAGAATGTTATTGGAGGAGGGGCCGGCCTGGTGGCGCACTGGATAGTGCGCCGCTTGGGAAGCGCGGCAGCGCTCCCGCCCGAGGGTTCGGATCCCACATACAGACCGGTTCCCACTCACTGGCTGAGCGAGGCACGGGGGCAACACTGAGGGTTGCAATCCCATTGCCGGTCCCCGGTCCGGTACGGGGGCAACACTGAGGGTTGCGATCCGTTGCCGGACACGGAAAAAGACAAAAAGACCAAAAAATAGAATGTTATTGGAGGAAGTTATGCCAGGCTTAGGGATTTATGGGCCCTGCCAGCAGCTCTACAATTACCTTGTTTCTGAATCAAAATTTCTACCTACCGGGATGATATTTTTCCTAATGTCTTCATATAAATCTCACAAGGTCTGAGCTAGTAAGAGATTTTTTGTGAGTGTGGGGGGGGGGGCACATGTGTGTTTGTGTGTGTCTGCATGTTTTGAAGATGTCAGCATTACCTGCAACAGATGAAAATGAAGATCCGATGCCTTGAAGGGTTCGGGCCACAAACAGCAGAGTATAAGTGCCAGAAAAAGCAAACACTGGGCAAAGAGAAGAGCAAGAATGCTCCTGTTAGCTAAATTGCCTTCGATTCTCCAGCCTCCAGAAGACATGCCCAAGATACTGCAGATATGCGTCATTATACGTATATTTTAATAAAGCATGATGACTGCTTCCAGTTTTCAAAATTGTCTTTCTAATCTTCCACCCCTCAATCAGGACTGCTTTCTAATTAGAAAAAAGACAAAAACCTCAGTCACTACACAGTGAATGGAAGGCTGAGTCTCTCCATTTCTTGCCAACAGCCCAACATCCTGTCTACTGGAATCAGGAATGTCCATGAAGCCCAAAGCCCTGGGCTAGGAACTAGCTCCTGACTCTCTTCCTGGATCCTCCATATGCAACACCCATTTTTTGGTCTTTGTCATTGCTGGGCCCCACTGGGTCATCTGGAGTAAAGTGACAATAAGTTCTGTGCATTTCAAGAACTATAAGCATGGGTATAAAATAATATCTTGTGATCCAGTTAGATCCTTCCCTTTACCTTATATCAGAAGATCTTTTAACCAAATTAGATCAGCATTTATTAAATCACACTGAGCATGCAGCTCTGCTAGACTCCCCACCAGACGCAGAATAAAGGAAATGAATCCAGTTCATGCTCTTGAAGAGGTTCAGTCTATTTGAGACTAACATCTATGAAACTGAGGAGCAATCAGGAATATCTTACCAAAAACTAAATTACAGGGTGCTGGTAGTACGTCCAGACATGTATCTTCTCCAATTCCAGAACAATGTCTCCGAAAGTGAGAAGAATCCCTCCCAAAGTGTCTGAATCAGAAGAATTTTGGCCCCTTTGCCTATTCGTTACAGATGTCTTCGGTTGCACTTATCATCTTTTCCTGTTACGTCCCAACAGGATTACCCTGAACTGCTCCTTGGCTCTCTGACATGTGCATTCTTGTTCTCTCCTTTCCTGGCCTCCAGTGCCCTTTTGTACGCTTTTTGATTTACAATCAATTCAAAGTCTACTACTCCCATGTCCTTTAAGAATAGAGTGACCAACTCATCTTGGTTTGCCTGGGACTGTCTTGGTTTTAAAACTGAAAGAAAGGCTCACGTCCTAGGAAGCCCCTCAATCCCAGGCAAACCAAGATAATCGATCACCCTATTCAGGAAGATAAAAGCAATTTCCTCTTCACTCTGCATCCCTGATGTGGGCTACCATTTAGCTCCTAATTATGTGAAGCATGGTCCCTAGTTGGGGGTCTTTAAGGGCAGTGATGGGCATCAGGAACCTCTTTTAAGTATTTTAAACAACCCTGAACAGTGCTACAAAAACACCCTAAACACCAAATGTATTTTCTTTTGGCTAGAGTTAGGACAACTCAGAATAGCAACTCTGGTTATCTCATGGAGACAATAGTTGCTATTTAACACATACAGTTTGGTAGATAAGAAAAGCTTTTAAAACATGAGTTCTGGGCCGGCCCGGTGGCGCACTGCTACAGTGCACCACTTGGGAGGCTCAGCGGCGCTCCCGCCGAGGGTTCGGATCCCACATGCGGACCGGTTCCCGCTCACTGGCTGAGCGAGGCGCGGGAGCAACGCCGAGGGTTGCGATCCCGTTGCTGGTCCCGGTCCAGTACGGGGGCGACACTGAGGGTTGCGATCCATTGCCGGACACGGAAAAAGACAAAAAGGAAAAAAAAAAAAAAAACATGAGTTCTTGGCAAAGAACATTGCTAACTTGAATTTCCTCATTTTCTTTGATTCAGCTAGAATTTCCCAACTAAGATGCAGATCTCAGACAGAACTTCACATCTCAAGCTCCTGCTCTTTGCAGGCTTCCAGCCACAAATGCAACAAATTCTTGTTAAACATTGAGTGACAGGAGTCAAGTCCTGTGCTGGGAAGGAAGAAAAGAGGAGGAGGAGGAATAGAGAAAGCAAATAAGTAACAGAAAGGTAAAAAGAAAAACAGGAGGAAGAAGGAGGGAGGTTATTGGAGAGCAGAGACTCAGCAGAGGTATCAGGAGCCACCGATGGGTCCCTAGGCCACCTTTGCCTGCATTAACCCCAAACGCTAACCCCCCATTCATTCCCATTTATTTTACTTCTCAAGGTCAATTTCCAGATTATTTTTCTCACTTACAGTTCCTGCTCCATTTCCATTTTATTAGATACTGATACTGGATAGACTGTTTGTCTTTCTCTTGCTTGTTTCTTTAGCAAATTTACTTTCCTAAGCTATAACCTTTAATGTCCTTAACTGGAAAGCAGTAGACTTTTTGGAATTTTCCAGATGCTATTGCCCAATTTTCTTTTCTTTTCTTTTTTGTTAGTTGCCCTTTACCATGGCATATAGAAATAATGTGATCTCCTCCCAATATGGAAGTTTATATTAAACTCACTCGAGGGATTATTGATAGACACACACACTTGTTAGCACACATATTCAAATAGCATTCATGATTTCCCAGCTGAAGTAAATGAAGCATCTGTTTTTCTACAGCAGAATAGACAAATTCCAACTAGACTGGGTTGCCATTGCTGTTCTAGTCTCCATAACAGAAACTGCAAAGCACTTACATCAGTGTCCCAGTCCACTTAGTCACATGCTTAATTGTCCTCTGGGCTAGATGGACCCCACTGCATTCACACAATAAAATCAAAGGTCATCAGTAAAGGGAGGAACAGAGGAAGCAGGCTACTTACTGACTGTGGAGAGAAACATGATAACAAAGCCAGCAAACATGGGAATGTGATATCCAATCCTAAAAGGGAATTGAAAAAAAAAGATGCAATTCCAATAGGTATTCATATACTTGGACTACGTTTTCAAATGTACATGGGAACAGAAATGCAGTTAATTTGAGTACATGGGAAAACACACCTCTGAATGCAGGTGTGGAGATAGAACACAACATCTAAACGAGTCCAAAAAGATAAACCACCGTGCAAATGTACACATCCACCAGGGCCCAAATTATCTGTTCCAGAAAGAATAGCCTACATAGAATGTATATCTTTTTAAAACATCAGCATAATCCCAAACACAACTACTAGGAAGCCAGTGCTCTAGATTGCAAAAGGACAGTCGCACCCTCATCCCATTCAAGCCATGTTCCAGAGCACTGATGTAACGTCAACAGTACACTGCTGTTCTCTGCTTCTCTTCCTAGAACTCAATATTCATTGTGTTACTGAGAAAACTTGAAGCTCATGACATTTCATCAATAACGTGTTATCCTTTGGGGTAACCCACTTTCCAAACAACTGACTCCCTGTCAACAGTACACTGCTGTTCTCTGCTTCTCTTCCTAGAACTCAATATTCATTGTGTTACTGAGAAAACTTGAAGCTCGTGACATTTCATCAATAACGTGTTATCCTTTGGGGTAACCCACTTTCCAAACAACTGACTCCCCTGGGGACCAGGCAAGTGAGTGTTCCTTCTTTGTACCATCTGACCACCTTTATGAAGCCTCAGTCAACCTCCTTTCCTGAGCCCCTGAGTACCGTGTGGGGCTCCGCATCCACTGAGATAGATACCTGTTGGTGAGAGGTCCCACGAAGGGGTTGACCAGAAGTTGCATCAGAGCCTTTGAAGCAAACAGAACCCCAACCCGGATGTTCTCTTCCTTTAAGAACTCTGTGCCTTGCAAGCAGTTGTTTTTATGTGCTGAGATGGCTTCAGTGACTGGAGGGGGGATGGTGGCAAAGGTGCCATTCATCCATGCTGTGCCACTGGGTGCATTTTCTTCAACCACTATGGTGTTGTTGTCAAAGAAGGAGAAGATGGTGGAAAAGGCGGGAGAGCTGAGGGCCTGCTGGGAACTGAGAGCATGGCCAAGGTGCAGAGAAGAGTTGACATCTTCAAACTCTGTGGCATACAGGAAGGTGGGCACAATGGGCACTGAAAGTCAAGGAGGACAGTGATGAGGGCTAAAGACGGTTGTCTTTTTATCACTATAAGGTTCAGGGGCATTACTATGAGGTTTTGTTTTATGCTCAAGGAAGGTGTCTAAGTGACATAATTTAAAGCCTATTGAAAGACTGTTCCTACCCAAATTATCTCACTAGCTAAAGAATCTAGATTGCTACCATCATACAGATAGTCCTCATTATTCATGATATTCCGTATTGGCTAATTTTTCTACTCGCTAAGATATATTTATAAACCCAAAATCAATACTCAAGGAGCTATCACGATTTTTTGCAGACATGTGCAGGGTGGCGAAAAATTTGTCTCCTGCCTGCACATGTTCCAGCTGAGGTGGAGCAAGGCAGGCTCTGCCTTCTCCATTCAGCCCTTGCAGGAAGATGACCAGAGGGTGGAATCAGAGGGGCAGGGTGATGTGGTGCCAGAAGCTCCAGTTCTGGAACCTTGAGTCCCAACTCTGGTACTTGTTCACAGTGCCTCGAGCAAGTCACTTAACACTTCTGGAAATCTTTTTCTCTTTTGTAAAGAAAATAGAATCTTCCAGGATGCATTGTTTTTAGAGTTAAGATTACAGTCTATGTTGTGTGTGCATTTCCCCTAGGAGCAATGATTCAGTATTCCCTAATTCAGGGTTTGCTGTGACTTTATAGAATATAACTGCAACTGTAGTACCATAAATAATGAGAATTGACTGTATTGGATTAACAACTTGACTCAAGAAGATTCCTATTTAAAAGTAGATATTTCACCCAGGAAGTGCAATATGTTAGTACCCACCTATACACTGGTGCAAACTTAATATAACAATTAAGAGAGTGCAAGAAAGGGAGGTCTCAATAGGAGTTGTATATCCAGATAAAGCATGCTAATTTTATAGAGCAGAGGCTTGACAGGAAACACAGTGAGGAGATGCTCACTGTCCCAGAGGCCACCTGGAGTCCAGCACCTTGGGAAGACGGCATGTGGAGGAAGAAAACCAAGGTCAGCTATGACTCCAGGTCACACGCTTTTCTGGTCAAATAATCTCTGAACCTTCTCTTTGAACCTCTGGAGTCTTTGAGCAATGATTGGCAAGCTTCAGACTCCATTTCCTGCGGTTTCCTCCAATCCCCACCAACCGCTGGGTATTTCTAAGCACCAAAAGAAAAATTCTCAAGTCCGTTCACTACTGAAATTGAGCAGGGTGCCTACTGCCTGCTGGGGTCCAAAGCAACTTAATCCTTAGCACGAAGAACCCCAACGTACCCACTACAGTGAGCAGCATGTTGTCCAGCAGCAGAGCGACAAACACCACCACCAGCACCAGCTGCCGGGACTCTCTCCCCTCCTTCAGGAGCCGCTGAGGAGTGTCCAGAACCACCTGGAGCATGCTGAGTGGGGGCTGGGGGCGTCTTCTCCTCCAGGTTCTTAGGGAGGGTCCTGGTACAGCTGCAGGTCTTCTGCAGTTCTTACAGAAGTGGGGAGGAAGTCTGCCCAGACGAATGAAATTCACTAGTAAAATGAAAGGTGCAAAAGGTTGCAAGAAGCAGGATGGTGCTTGGAAATTCTTCTGTGTCTGTATCTCTGTTCACTTCTTATACATCTCAATAGCTCTGCCTGGTTGCCAGAATGCCCTTCAGGTGTTTACATTTGGAATTATAGCTAGAACATTAAACAGACTCTGCAGATCACCTAGCTCTGCGTTTCTCAAATATAGACATCTGCCCATCATCTTGATGGTTTATGTCATATTGGAGGACTACTGTATGTACTACTATTTACTTCATCTTTTCTAAATCCACTCTTTTTAAATGTTAAAATACTGTTTTTGGAAAGTAACTTTATGTCCATGCAAAAAAGAAATTATGGTCTATGTCTATGTACCACCCGAAAATTATGGTCTATGTATGTTCTATGTACCACACCAAATGTGGCACAAGAGTCCCTTGTGTTGACCACTGAGAACATTGACCTAGACCGACATTTTCATCTCACAGATGAGAAATCTGAAGACTTAGGAAGTTAGGAGATCTGTCTTGGGTTACACAGTTAACAGCGAACTGTAGTGAAATCCCAAGGTTTTTAACCTTCAGGTCTATTTTCATTTTCCTGTGCTTTGCCATACTAGAAACACTCTTATTCTTTTGTTTAAGCTATAAAACCCCTGCTTGGAAAGGTGCGTTACTCTGTGTGAATAAAATACTAACTCTTATGATTAGTTTTCTATTTAGGATTTCAAATCATTAGCCAGCATTAAGTCACAGTACCTTGTCAAATTTCAAGTAGTAACATTTTCTGGGAAGAATTTTCTTTTATGTGGCTTCTGTTTTGGTATCATCATTTAAATTTTAACATATGGGCCGGCCCGGTGGCGCACTGCTACAGTGCGCTGCTTGGGAGCGCAGCGGCGCTCCTGCCGAGGGTTCGGGTCCCACATACAGACCAGCCGCTCACTGGCTGAGCGAGGTGCGGGAGCAACACCGAGGGTTGCGATCCCGTAGCCGGTCCCGGTCTGGTATGGGCGCGACACTGAGGGTTGCGATCCGTTGCCGGTCACGAAAAAAGACAAAAAGGAAAAAAAAAAATTTTAACATAGATTACTGTCATGAAATGTATCAGGTCCTAGAAATTGTATACCCTTTGATTTGGTAATTCTACCTCAAGGAACCTATCCTAAGGAAATGATCATAGGTACAGCCAAAGATTTATGCTCAAAATTTTTAATTGCTGTATTATTTTTATTAGTGAAGAAACAGAACAATTTAAAATCATGTTTTGAAATAATTTTAATGATCTAGAAAATATTCTTAATATAACGTTAAGCAAGAAAAGGATGTTAAACTGTATTTACAGCTTGACCTCAATTATGTAAAAAATACACATTTTTGAGACTAGAAAGATACCCAAATGCCAGCTGTTTATAATCAATGACTTAAATTATATTCTTTTTCCTTTTCTGTAATTTCCAAATATACTATAATGAACTATTTTCACAATACAAAAAGTAAATAATTTTAAATGATTGTCACTGGGGTTTAATAGCCTTAGATGTAGGAAGTATCCCAAGCATTGAACATCTCTGTTCTAAGAAGAATATCCTCTGTACTATAGAACCTAAGTAACCAAGGTCCCAAGTGACCCAAATTCCCAGATAAGTTTCAAACAAAAAATGCATGCAATTATTTAAGATCCTTCATTTCTCTTTGTATAGAGGGTATTTTCAAATACAAATTTACTTAGGATACGTAAGGAAAATAAGGGGAGACTAAAAGAAAAGAATGAAAACTAAAAGATGTGAAATGGAACTCCTACTCCTACTACGAGAAGAGACAAACAAACAAAACCAAAACAAAAAACCCTAAACAAAAACAAACAAAACCAGGAATTTCCCAACAAATCAGTAGTAAACTTTGATGAGAGACACAAAATACAAGAAAGGATTAAATTTGTCCAGAGAAAGAGAAATTTTACCTTAGAGCCTATCTTGGTGGGAGGCTCTCCAGCAGGCTTGGCAGCTGTTCACAAGGCAGCAGGGACTCTGTTCTCTGAAAGTGGATGTGCTGATGGGTTTATTGCCACCTGTTATCTGAGGATGCTGTGTGTGTGCCCTTTGTCCACAAAGATTTAATTGGAACCTCCAAAGGCAGGACGGCAGCGCTTGAGAGGATAAAGTGAGGAGAGATATTATCCTAAACAAAGAGGCACCCGGCTGCGCTGTTTTCCATCTGTGCTTATCTATCATCAAACTCTTTAACTCTTGCCTGGGTCTGAATACAAATTGGTAAAGAGCCACAAAAAATGATGACAATGTGTAAGGCTGAATATACTAATTATCCTGATTTGAGCATCACTTATGGCACACAGATATTGATATTCAGCGCTGTACCCCACAGATATGTACAATCAATTATGTTTTAAGAAAAAAATTATGTTTTGTAATGATGAACATGTTAATAATCCTGATTTAATCATCACATATTTAAAAGCAATTACTGACAGTCAACTCTGTACCTCACAAATCTGTGTAATCAATTGCTTCAATAAAAAATTTTTTTAAATACATAAATAAATAAATAATTGAAAGACAAGGTGAAACCAGGGTGCAGTCCCTGTTCTTTGCTACTTTGTCAGAGAGGCTCTGTATACCCGGATTACTTCCTGGAAAGAAATAAATCTTAGAACATGCAAAGGGTGGAAAATCTATGCACGTTCTTCTTAAGTCATAAAAATCCAGCATGCATGGCCTATGTAAAGGCATAGATTGTGCAATGATTCTTACTTCCCCAATACTAGCTTAGTACTGATACTGGAGGAGAGGATATGGGGAGGCTTGATGGCTGGTCTCAACCCACCCCGTCCTCTTACTAGGTTCTTGACTCTGCCACTGGAAAGAATTCAAGAGCAGAGTCACAGTAGAAAGTGAGAACAGGTTTAATGTAATGAATGCGAGATACAGATTTCACAGAAAAAGTGTGGCCTAGCTTCAGATACGGAGCAGTGCCCACACCAAGTTTAATACAGAATTAAGAAATACACATTCACAAAGTGCAGGCTGGTTCTAGAGTGAACAGCAGCCTGTTAAAGGCAAGTTTGATACAAAAAGAAAGAAATATACACCTCAGGAGAAGTGCGGGCTGATTCCGGAAGAGTGAGCAGCAGCCCCACCTTCTGCAAGGATTCCACTTTTATAGTTTCACTACCTAATGCATATTCATGATATCTAATGAATATTCAACTAAGGGGGTGGTTCCCAGTTATGTAACCTACTCTTGCACATGCTCAGTTGGTCTCTTTCAGAGCATGCTCATTGGTCAAATTCCATCACATGCACCAAGATATTCAAATATATTTGGTGCTCTCTAGTGCTTCCAGTGTGAGGTCATTCAAGAGATAAACTCCTCTTTACTGAGCATGCTCCGTCAGTGAGCTAGCTCTGTGGCCTCAATCTCTGCCTGCTGGTATGGAAAATAGGTGCTACAGACCACCAGTAGCTCAGGACTCAGGGACAGATCTTGAGTCCTAGGGGAGTGGTTTGAGACTCAGGGAAGTGACCTGAAACTCAATCCCTTGGGACTGAGCACCTCCTATCTCAGTGCCAGTAAATATTTCTTGTATGGATGAGTAGGTGGATGGCTACATGGGGGGACCTTGAGGCTGGTTCCGGAAGAGTGAGCAGCAGCCCCACCTTCTGCAAGGATTCCACTTTTATAGTCTCACTACCTAATGCATATTCATGATATCTAATGAATATTCAACTAAGGGTGTGGTTCCCAGTTATGTAACCTACTCTTGCACATGCTCAGTTGGTCTCTTTCAGAGCATGCTCATTGGTCAAATTCCATCACATGCACCAAGATATTCAAATATATTTGGTGCTCTCTAGTGCTTCCAGTGTGAGGTCATTCAAGAGATAAACTCCTCTTTACTGAGCATGCTCCGTCAGTGAGCTAGCTCTGTGGCCTCAATCTCTGCCTGCTGGTATGGAAAATAGGTGCTACAGACCACCAGTAGCTCAGGACTCAGGGACAGATCTTGAGTCCTAGGGGAGTGGTTTGAGACTCAGGGGAGTGACCTGAAACTCAATCCCTTGGGACTGAGCACCTCCTATCTCAGTGCCAGTAAATATTTCTTGTATGGATGAGTAGGTGGATGGCTACATGGGGGGACCTTGAGAGGCACTATAGATCTATATTATTCTGACATTAAGAGCATTGGTGGGCAAGAATATAAACAATTTACAAAGAGCAAACACAACTAACCAACACAAGTAACAGCAGAGGTCTCCTACTTATGAAACTCGAGGGCTCCTCATAATTGTAAAAATTAACTTGGGAACTTTTGATTTAGGGCTAACACAGAAGAAAAGACATGAAAATGGAAACCTGGAGAGAGAAACAGGGAGAGGAAACAAGGAGGTTAGGATAGTGTATTAGTTCCTATAGTTTGCTGCTGTAACAAACTACCACAAATTTAGTAGCTTAAAATAACACGAATTTATAGTCTTACAGTTCTGGAGGTCAGAAGTCCAAAATAAGTATTGCTGAGCTAAAATCAAGGTGTTGGCAGGGGCTGCATTCCCTCTGGAGACTTGGGGAGAGAACCATTTTCTTGCTTTTTCTGGCTTCTAGAGGCTTCCTGCATTTCTTGGCTCATGGCTGCTTCCACTTTGAAAGCCAGCGTGTAGCATGTTCAGCCCTCTGAGCCTTCTGCCTCCCATCTCAAGATCCTAAAGTTAATCACATCTGCAAAGTCCCTTTTACTATGTAAGGGAAGCCTTTAACAGGCTGCTGTTCACTCTAGAACCAGCCTGCACTTTGTGAATGTGTATTTCTTAATTCTGTATTAAACTTGGTGTGGGCACTGCTCCGTATCTGAAGCTAGGCCACACTTTTTCTGTGAAATCTGTATCTCGCTCCCAAGTAATTGGGAAACTGGTTTTGGGGAACCGAGGGCCTGGGAGAGCAGATGTAGGCTAAGAATCCTCAAACTTTAGGTGTTACTAGGAATAGCAACAAAGACATAGCTATCACTTATTGAGCACCTACTACATATCAGGCATGTTTCTAATATATACCCATACATTATATGTATAATTTATATTACATAAACTACATATATATATTTTTAATTGTAACCATGCTTGTGTTCATAGGCTGGCCAAGCCTAGAGTGTCCTCACGAATGCCCATTAGTGTTAATAATCAGAGTGTTGTCTATTAAAAAGGAATAAGCTCTCATCTTACTGTTTAACTTTTCAATGTAAAAGATGTGAAGCTCTAGGGCTGGCCCATGGCTCACTGGGGAGAGTGTGGTGCTGATAACACCAAGGCCGTGGGTTCGGATCCTATATAGGGATGGCCGGTTTGCTCACTGGCTGAGCGTGGTGCTGACAACACCAAGCCAAGGGTTGAGATCCCCTTACCAGTCATCTTTAAAAAAAAAAAAAGATGTGAAGCTCTGAGGATGGTGCAAGATAAATTCATATGCACTATCACTAGCTGTGCAAATACACATAATGCTTTTAGAAAAGAATTTGGCTTTCTGTCTTTTGTTTTTTAAGTAGCAAAATGTGCATACCTTTTAACCCAATAATTCCACTTCTTAAAAATCTATTCTAAGAAAATAAGCTAAAATATGGTGGGAAATCATAGGTACAAAATTTTTATTATAGCATTTAGGGAAAAACTGGAAATATCTTAAATATCCAACTGTAGAAAAACATTAAGTACATGGGAGAAACAGAGAAAAAAGATTATTGTGAAGACTATATATCAACCTGGAAAAATTATATATACGTATAATTTATATTTATATATAATATGTATTGTACACAATTTATATAATATATAGCTTATATTATATAATATATAAATATATAATATACACAGTTATTATAATGGGAAGTGGGAAAGTAGAATACAAAACTTTATGTACATTTATAGTATCATTATGCACAATCGTCACAAAGTGAAAGCAACCCAGATGTCCACCAACAGATGAATGGATAAACAAAATGTGGTATGCAATGTAATATTATTCAGCCTTAAAAAGGAAGGAGATCCTGACACACGCTACAGCATGGATAAATCTTGAGGACATTATACTAAGTGAAATAAGCAAGTCACTGAAGGACAAATACTGTATGATTCCACTTATATAAGATACCTAAAGCAGTCAAATTCACAGAAACAGAAAGTAGGATGGAGTGTCCCAGGGTCTGGGGGGAGGGGAAAAAGGGAGGGGTTATTTAATGGGTACAGAGTTTCAGTTTTACAAGAAAAAAATTTCTGGAGATTGGTTTCATAACAATGTAAATATACTTAAAACTACAGAACTATACACTTAAAAATTGTTAAAATAGGTGTTCACAGCCGCCGCCACGCCGCCGTCGCTCTCTTCAACGCCAGCACCGCCTCTCGCTCGCCGAGCTCCAGCCCGAGGAGAAGGGGGGTAAGTAAGGAGGTCTCTATACCATGGCTCGTACAAAGCAGACTGCCCGCAAATCGACCGGTGGTAAAGCACCCAGGAAACAACTGGCTACAAAAGCCGCTCGCAAGAGTGCGCCCTCTACTGGAGGGGTGAAGAAACCTCATCGTTACAGGCCTGGTACTGTGGCACTCCGTGAAATTAGACGTTATCAGAAGTC